GTAAAATCATCATACCATTGAACCTTTACCAATGTATTTTAGTGTTGATTAACCTTCTCCCTCGATTTTATTCTATTCGACAAAAGTCCTATCGTGAGGAAATATTTTAGATTAAATGTGCAGTCAAGTTGCTGTGGTGATCGTAGCCATCTCCAACAGGCTTACTGTTCTGTTATTTTGGGCTCTGATTTTATCCAATGCTCAACCTTCGTCCAGTGATTTGTTATCCCGTACATAGCCCGAGATCGTGCACAGAACGCAAAGGGATTACGAGTCAGGCTCGTTTTGGTTGGAGAATTACGAAATCCTGGTAAATTACAGAAGGCTTTAGATTATCCTCTGTCTGTCTGCGATAGCATCTGATTGGACAATTGAAGATAAATCTGGTTTTATCCTCCTAAAGACCACCCTTATCCTCGCTATCCTTCAGAAATTGTGCTGCTTGATCTTTGGGGGACGTTTCAAATGGCAGATATTTACATAAAAATGAGAATTGTGAAATGGCCACCTACGGCTGACAGTGATAACACAAGACTGTCAGACAAACAGGGTTTTTTGTGTTGATATACAAGTAAAGAATATCGCTGGACCCAATCGTTGCCCTTTATCTTACTCTTTGATTCAGATTGCTTTTACCGTAGAAATGGACTGCCTGATCCTGCAATCATACTTGCTAGCTTAAATGCTTCTGTTTCATTTTGCTTGCTGTAGTCTGCAGGACGGAGAGGTTTTTGTCCCTACCCATATCAAATCTCTAAAAGGGATAGATTTCGAAACATCAAACCAAATACATACCATAATATACAAGGAGATAATAATTATCTCAGAGTTCATGGAAAACCTGACATAATTTGGTGTAGAAATGGCCAATGTAATCTTGAACTGTGTTAAACCCAGGTGCATCCCGCTCAATTATCGCCATGGTAATTAGCCATTATCACAGTCCTAAACAACGACCTTGCATTTTTAGTCCAAAGATTAAAAATAATTTTAAAACTCTTTTTACTTCCATCGCAGTTTTCACCTATCATGTTTTAGTACTTAATCAGGGTTTGTGTACATGTGCAGCCTCCACTATTTCTCTGATAGAGCGAGATCATATTACATCACCTTGACCTACATCTCAAGGTCGTTTCATATCTGATACATAAATATATTTGCCTCACTTGACTGTATCCAAACCAATTCAATCTAAAGAAGCATAGGATGTATAATTATTCTGAACCAAAATGAGTAGAAGACCTACTGCAGTACACTGCTCCAGCATAATCCCACTTTGGATGGGTATTTGTCTTGAAGGGTTCAAATATCATTTTCACAACTTCCTATCCTTGTGGGAGGTTTTCAAATTAATTTTTTTCCTGGCAGATACATATAGAGGAAATGACATCATTGATTTATGGGAGTTTCCATATTGTAATAAGCGATTCATCCACCTGCTATTATATTAAAAAATTCTTGTACACATTTGTTGGGTGTTTTACCTATAAAAAAATGAAAATAACTTGTTTTTCTGGGTCATTCACTTATGTATGGGAAATCGTTTTAATTTCTTGGATAAAAATGATATTTTTCTATCAGCTTATTAAAGTTATTATCAATGAAAACCATTCCCAAATCCTACATTGTGTATTTGCTGCGTGATGGATCTATGTTTTAGAAAACTGAACGTAAATTACTGTGCTACACATTATAATAAATTCAAACATGAAATGAGGCAATTTCTGAATTATGAGTGTCCTCAAATACATATTTACTTCTTACAAATAAAACAAAATCTTTTCCATCCGAATGTTAACAAAACTTAACTTATCAATGTCTTCAAAAATTACACTCTTATGAGTGTGTTCTCAGAGATGACATTACTTTCACTATTCTTCAATGCAAAAACATGTCTCTTTTATGATAAATTGATAAAAATGATTCTTTCGAAATATATAAGTCACAACTCGCATTGATACCTTTGTTTGGAATAAGTTTTATTTTTCAGTAAAAGAGATTTAGAAAGATGAGTAAACGCAATGTAGGGATAACTTTTAACATTAGCCAAAGTTGACTGTAGTGGAAGGTTTGTATTATTACAAACACATGTATACCACATAACACAAATACAGGAGAAAATCTCTCTCCACAACTGTTCAAAGTGGTGTTAATTCCCTTACGGCCTCCAACCAGCATTGACAAATTATGTCTAGAATACCATTTTAATTAAATATCTTAAAGATGGAGCAAACATCTGATATGAATTTAAATAAATATGGATACAAAATCTTATGGAAGGTTCCAATTTCAAAGGCATGGTTGAATTTGATCCGGCAGATAAGTGATGCAATTTGGTGTATTTTTTTTAATCTGCACATGAATATGAAGAGCTAAGTTGTGGAGGTTTGGTAGCAGCACTGGGATACTATGATTGACTTGCGCAAGACGTGTGATAACTGTGTTTGATAGCACATAAACAAGTGGCTTGGTGTGAATGGGAGCCGGCATCACAAATCCACACGGGATTTCACGAGAGATTATGAGATTTTGTTGCCTGATAATACATATGCTACCGTCTAACTTGATCACATTAAGTTGTATATATATAAATCTATATCAATATCTTTTTTATTTTTCCCTCTCACCATTCCTTTGGCAGGCGTTTTTTAATGAGAATATTTGTAACTATAAGACGATGAATTTTTATTTTAGACCCGCTTGGAATCTAATGTGTGAGGAAGATAAAATTTCCGCTTTCTACAACCAGAAGCTTTTCAATATTTTAGACACAAGTATTCATTCTGACTTTGAACCTATATTCCTGTTTAAGTCCTAATCAAGATATAATGTCAATGTAGCAACACCTGCTAGACTTCAGGTTTAAGAAGGCTTGTAAGGTAAATTGAATTTCACCTCCACATACGCAAAAAGTTAGTTCACAGTATACTGTAAATGATTTTATTGAAATATGAATCTGTACTTCACTAACTGGCTTTCAACATTTACCACATCAATTGTGTCTGTAAGTTTATCACATAAATCACCAACCATCCAAGAAATATATATCCAATGTTATAATTAGATATCTTTCTTTGCAAGTTAACAACCAACCAGTATCTGACTTTTACAATATCATTATAATGTATATCTGAAATAAAACTTTAGACCAAAGAATGACTTGAAAACAACTTTTCTTTGGTATTATAGAGATGATTTAAAAACAAGCCTTTCTGTGGTATTGTCAAACTTTCTTAATCATGTAATAGATATGTTTATGATAAATTTATACATTTTATGCTAAACTCTTGACAGTTCTTGTAAACTGATCCCTAAGATGGGAGAGGTTATCATTTTAAACACCACCTTTACATAAAAAATACTTTTATATTAGATACAAATAGAACCTTTTACAATTGTCGATACTTTCTAACCTGTGTTCAATAACACCATTATTTACAAAGGACTTATTTCTTTGACAAGTCATGTGTGTAAACAGAATCATATAAATGTAAGCTGCTTCAAACAATAAAACATAAATTTACATCCCTGCAACTTAGTTTTTTATTCAATTTTCCTATTCAGGGGAGATAATTTAGTTCAAAATCTTCTGAAAATTTCCAAAACAGGGGAGATAATTTGAGTTCAAAATTGAAAGTATCTATCAAAAACCTCTTCAAGCAAACTAACCATGAATGTCTCCCTGTGAAATGATTTGACTGTTGAAATCATAGATGTTAATACTGAAGTCTTCTAAAAATCATGATAGTAACATTTTGATATTGACTATGGAATTATGACAAGGCATTACAGATAAACCTGCTGTATCTTCAACTAAAGATTGCTTGTTGTTTTCCTCAACATCAAACTTCCTCCCCAGCCCCATCAGTGTTTGATGCCATATCACAGTCCTATACATAACTTACATAATACAAGCTTAAGTGTATTTCATAATAGTCTTTGTCAGCAGTCTGTATTCATGTTAATAGTAGCTAAATCTTCATCAATCACAGTCCCTGCCGTCTGATGCTGCTGTAATATGAAATTAGTCGTTCTTGCAAACATCTCCGTTTTTTAATCTGTGCCAAATTTTGATTGATTTGATTAGCTAGACTGTGGTGATGAAAAACCCTAATACTTTCATCCTAAAGTCGACTTGGTTATCTAACATGCATGAACATCATAACTGGCTCATTTGAAGAAATTTGTTCATTCGTGCAATTTGCTTTGCGAGACATATGTATGAGTTTTCTGTGAATAACACATCTTTGTGTCCTGAGAATCCCTCGCTAATTGTCCAAGTACCTGCCAACAAATTTTCAGCACAAACAGAAATGGCTACTTTTTTGCTTGACAATTTTTTCGTCATAATTTCTTTTATTATTTCTTCATCATCATTAATTTCCTCTGTTTTGCGATTCCTCTGTTATGGAGAAATTGGTTGGGAATGAAATTTTCTAAGTAAATTTGGCCATTATAAACTTAATATGTGAAGACGTTTTGATCCGCAGGATAATACTCCCCCGGTTCACAGAGTCTATTTCTGTAACAAGCATTTACTTGGACAAGGGGTATTCTAAAGAAGAATCATGTGTAAGGTGCAGGGTGGGGCGAAGGTGATAAAATGATGGGAGTTATTTTTGTTTTTCACCTGATGCTTGTCACATCAAAGCCAACAGGATTAATTTGAAAGTCAACATAAACGACTAAAAAGATAAATTTGTTATGTCCAATCAACCATGACCATACAAATTCATTTGATTTTTTTATGAGTAGAAAGCAAATTTACTTTCTTAGTATATTTTACAAACATCCAATTCTTCATCTTTTTTAAAATATAGTCATCTTCACTAATTCATTTCAATTTTCGAGGACGGACAGTTCTCTTGTCTGCGAGTTTGAACTGAAATAAGGGATATAATATCTTTAAGTATTCAGGTGGTAAACAAACAACCAAACGAAACGAAATGTTAAGAAATTAATTCCATCAAAGTGAAATTCCCAATCAAACACAAACTTACCTGCTGGAGTTTGATTGGCTGGAGGTATCGGATTAGGCGTCTGTGGGGTGTTGTTTGTTATAGGTACAACATCGGTTTTCTGGTGGTGATGGCCTGTCGTCGAATATGACGGACACGTTGTCGGAGTGGTGTAACCTGTTGTTGGATGGGTGTGGTCTACTGTTGGATGGGTGTGACTTTTTGTTGGATGGGTGTGGCCTGGTGTCGAATGAGTTTGGCCTACTGTCTGTTGAGAGTGACCCGTTGGTGGATGGGTGTGTCTCGTTGGTGTGTGACCTCTCACAGGTGTATGGATGTGACCTGTTGAGTGGCTAGGTGGAGAACGTTGGACTGGCGAGGCAGGACTACTGGGACAGGAGGAAGGGGGAGGTGGAGACTGTTTTGATGCCAGTTGGTCTTTGGTTAAGAGTGTTGGCAAGTCGTCAGTGTTTTGTTTACCAACCTGCAAAAAAATCAAATTTAAGGATTTAGACAACAAACTTTTTTTACTGCATTATAAATACCTTCTTCCACATTATTACTTTTTAATATTTTTTATGATTATTCAGCAAACAGCAAAACTATTTTCATTTCACTTTTCAACTTTTAAAAACTGGATTTCAGTTTTTTTCCCCCAGGGAAAATGGAATAAATTTGAACTGCTATAAAGTAAAATATCAATGTGATGAAATAGAGCCAAGTCATTGTTGATTATCAATGCATACATCCATCTGACAAGGTTCCATTGTTTGTAACAAGACGTGATGATCTAATCATTATTACCGACAGGGCGTGATAAGATATCATATCATTTGAAATTCACCTTGCATCGATTTATTTAGAAGGTGATTAGTAAATCTGCAATAAATCTCCCATAAAATCATCCTTTATGATTGATGTGTGAGATGAAAACTGCATACCGATATAAGCACTTAACAGCTGCATTCATCAAATTATGTAAAGCATCCTACAAACCTCATTAATATGTATCTGAGTCAGGTTAGACAAGATACAGGTAATCACAGGTATGTACAAGTTGATGACTGAGCTAATCATTTAGTTAAAATTAAACTTTAAAGGAAATGTCAGCTTAAGTTCAATACATATGTCATTCCACTAGCATCAAAATGCATCATTGTTTCAATAAAAATTAGCCAGGTATGGATTGAAACATAAAACACATCTTACTGAAAGATGTAGGAATAAAAAGTAATAAAGAAAAAGATAAAAATTTTCCAAAATTATCCTTTGTAAAAATTTCTGAATTTGCAAAACTTGTAATAATACATCCATCAATAAAGATATTATCTTTATAAAAAAAACAAGTTACCTCCCTTTAAATTACACTGTTTGGTTTTTTCATGTAAGGTTTAATGAATGTCCCCCCAAAAACTTATGAAGACATCACAGGTACCTAACATGCCAGTAAAATGTAACAGAATGAGATAGTGAATAGATATGTTAAAAACTTCTCAGGAAACAAAAGAAACTCATTTACCAGTTTCAAAATAAATGTTGATAATTGTTAGTTCGCATGTTCATTTTGTTGTTGTTTACCTTGTTTTTATTTGAGAACCTGACATTATTTACTTTGACCAAGATTTACATGTTCTGGAACACCTGGTCTCCATGTACTTTTTCAGGAGTCTCTGTGTAAATCTGTCATCTCTTCATATTTTGCCCTAGTTTTATTGAATCTGTGTTTGGATTGTGGTCATGTTGCTACTTCCTTGTTATTTTTTGTATTGGTTAATGAAGTTTACTTTCCCTATAATTATGTAGAAAATATGTCAGTTCCCGTGATCTCTGTTGCCCATTAAGTTAAGAATAACTGCAGCATACATGATGGAAAATCTACATGAAAAAAAATTAATATTGGTGCCTATATATATATATATATAAAGCGATCTTATTTTTTTGTTTTACATCTCTTTACAAACGGAAAACATCTAGCCCTGTAATTAATTTACTAAGGAAAAAATAACTTCTCATACAGAAATGGAACATGATGAAAACATATCACATATCAACACCCTTGTCATAGATAGCCGAACAGCTTATTGCTTTCACCAGGTGCGTTACTCTCATAAATTTCATTATCTCCTACTGCTTACCTGTCTACTTCTTACCTGGCGTTTCTACGACAAGATTAGCGATGAGATTGACATGTACTGTTATCTTAACCATTAACGTCTACATATGACAGATTATCTGTCTTCCATGCCATCCCTGGTTTCTTTTTTTTTTAGGGATATGATTTTCTCGGCTAGTCTCTGTGATAAATATATACATATGAAATGTACATACACATTGTGTGCTTATGGGTAAAACAGTTTCTCTGACCTGTTGTGATATTTTTGACAGAACTTATAATATTTGATAGAATCCCTATATAATAACATGATGAACTGATTTTTCATGAGGAGAAAAATCAAACAGCCTACAAAACTATTCCAAGAATACATTCAAAAGACTTCTCATACACCAGAAAGATTACCTACTGGTTACACTGTTACATAAGAATTATACTGATTGTGCATGTAGGTATTTCAAATAAGGTTTTCACCAGGACTGTTATTTTGTCTTAACAATACTAGCAGGTCAAATCACAGGTTTCATTTTCAGGTCACTTAAATTCATCAGTCAGTGTCACATTTGTGTTTGCATGTCTATAATGTTCATTAAGGTAAAGCATCCTCCTACCTGATTATGATAACTTAGAGGCCATGAGCTGAAAAATAACTAGATCATTTTAATGTCGTCCTTGTAATTATCAACATAGATTTTAGTCCAAATATTTTCAACATTTTCAAATAATTCAAAATGATTAAACACCGATCCATCTTTTTCTGACTTTATTCTGATTTCAAGACTGAAAATACAAATGAATTTCTCAATAACATCTGCGTACTAGGAAACATTTACTTTGAAAAAAAAACAAAAACTTGTGAAAAAATTGTGTATGATCAAGGAATCTAAAATGGCCAGAGTGTTAGGGAATTGGACCTCTATTCAGTCACAACACAATCACTATCATCACGTCACAGTATGTCCTTCAGGTATGGTTGCCTGAGCCATATTTACACCTGATGCATATGTTACCACACCCGAGGGAGTCTTGACTATGCACAACCCCTGATTAGATTTACTCGAGATTTACAGAGCATAAAGAAAAGTCACATTAACTCACACTTCTTAATTTGTGTTTTTGTTATTGAGGACTAAATGAATTACCTGTAACATTTAACATGACATCTGTGTTACACCATATGGTAAGTCACAGATGTATCGTAGAACGCTGAACATGACACATTTCTTTTATATTGTGTGTTTCAGTTTGATTTTGAGAGGTTACAGACTTAAAGGGCTACAGGTGGCCATCCGCATATTTACACCTACGTACAGTAAAAAATCTGACTCCTAACAGAGAAAATCCATCAGAGAATTAGGAAGTCTGTCATCTCGGTAGGACTGTCATATATCACTTTATCACAAAGCCTTGGTGGTAATGTTTGGCTGATTAAGGATTAAAAGCCAGAGAGCTACAGATGTCCCCTAAGTAATGCTAGTCCCTGTAGTAATACTAGTCCCTAATTACACACCTGTCCCTAAAATTACCTTGGCCTGTCCTGAAACAGTCAACTGTCAGGATGGACCACTTTACAGGTACAAATCACTAAAAGATTAGGGACATTTTAAAGCAAATATCCCTTTTTGTCTGTCTCTGACTAACATTTCTTCAACCTCTTTTTAACTGAGTCCCTTAACCCCTTCCCCAAACCCATCCCCACCCTTTCACCAAAAACCTCTTTTCTAAAATAGTTTCATCCCCAAATCATCCTTCCCAAAAAAGAACTAACCTTTTCTTATCCTTCCTGACACTGTCCTATCCTCCACCCATCCTTCCCTCACTTACATCTCCAATCCTTTCTGACACAGTCCTATCCTCCACCCATCCTTCCCTCACTAACATCTCCAATCCTTTCTGACGCAGTCCTATCCATCCATCCTTCCCTCACTAACATCTCCTCCCATCCTTCCCTCACTAACATCTCCTCCCATCCTTCCCTCACTAACATCTCCTCCCATTCTTCCCTCACTAACATCTCCAATCCTTTCTGACACCATCCTATCCTCCACCCATCCTTCCCTCACTAATATCCCCTCCCATCCTCTCTGACACTGTCCTATCCTCTACCCATCCTTCCGACACAGTCCTATCCTCCACCCATCCTTCCCTCACTAACATCTCCTCCCATCCTCTCTGACACTGTCCTATCCTCTACCCATCCTTCCCTCACTAATATCTCCTCCCATCCTTCCTGACACTGTCCTATACTCCACCCATCCTTCCCTCACTAACATCTCCCATCCTTCCTGACACTGTCCTATACTCCACCCATCCTTCCCTCACTAACGTCTCCCATCCTTTCTGACAGTCTTATCCTCAACTTAAAATTATTTTATCGTCATGATTATCAAAATTTGGAGCACTTCCTTGTAGCATAATTATGATTTAGTTTAATTCTTTTCATCATCCCAATTTAATAATTTATATTAATTTCTTATAATTAAATAAAATATATTTCTTTAATTTAATTCAATTACCTGTAAATTTCCATAATAAGCATTAGACAAGTTATAGTGTGATGATTTTAAAATTCTAATTTAAATTTAATTGGGTTATGTAATATGTGTGATTAAATTAAAAGAGCTTAGTGTGAAAGTGATATAATTTGTATTAGCATGTTTTGCTGTATTTATTACACAAAAGATATGCAGCAAAACTACAAAATTGTCAAGGATAATGCTAATTAAATGGATACGGCTAATATAAGCAAGATAAATTTGACAAATGATGATTATGGTTGTCAGCTTAATAAGATCTAAAACATTTAGAATGTGTGCAGGGTCAATTCTAATATGTAAAGAAAACTTTAAATGAAATGAAATATTCGCATTAACATCAATTTTCACTTCAAATATGCATAGGCAAGAGTGAGATAAGTCAACATTCTTTTATCAACTGCAGATTATATATACCAAACTCACTTATTTACATACTGTTAAAAAATTAACAAAATCAACATCTTAGATAAATATCCAGCATGGTCAAAGATAATTATGATACATTAAAAAAAAAGAAAATGTTTTCATTTTTAGAAGTTGTCAAATTTAAAATTCAAAACAGCTACCATGACATCACAGAGAAGTACATTTCAATCTATGTTAAATAAAGAAATAAATACAACAATTAATGCAAATAAGTCTATATGTAAATAATTCAAGACAAGTTTTCATTTTAAAGCATATGTACATACAGTAGTAACCCTGGTAAATGTCAGAACATTGAAATTTGTTTACAAATTAAATACTTCATTGTGATAAAAAAAGAGACAAATTGTTATTGCAAAATGAAAATGAGATAAAAAAAAGTGTTTAAAATCAGGTTTCATTGACTAT